TTACCATGAAAAACAATGTCCTATTGAAGAGTAAGGGTAGTAGAAAGTACTCTTAGGTCATAGCACCAGGATAATATTACATAATTCTCAAAACTGATCATATTTGCCCATTTCCTTCAGACATTTGGTGGTACAGAGTTTCTCTAACAACTAGAGCAAACTGTTTAAGAAAACAGCTCATCTAACAACTATCAGTCCATCTCTAACAACTGGAAAAAACTGTTTAGCAGAATTTGTTGTGGACAAAACCTTAGTTTTAATTTTTCTGCCCTAATTTCTTTTTACTCCAATTTCCTTATTTATTTTTATTATGTTATGGATATCTTGTGATGGATATTTCCTGATTCAGAATTTCTAAACAATATTAATACCTTATGGAAACCACAAGAAGAATAATGTCAAAAATATTTTTATTATGCAATAAATACATATTGATCTAAAATTGTAACCATAAAGCAAGGTAAAGAGTGAGAAGAAACTCACTCCGAGGAAGTAACCACTGTTAACAATTTAACAATTTCTAGTGTAACCTTCTAGAAATCATCTATGCATTTAAAAATAAATATTCATATACAAATATCTTATTTTTTATCTTCAACTTTTATTTTAAGTTCAAGGATACATGTGCAGGATGTGGAGGTTTCCCACGTAGGTAAATATGTGCCATGGTGGTTTGCTGCATGGATCATCCCATCACCTAGGTATTAAACCCAGCATTAATTAGCTATTTTTCCTGATGCTCTCCCTCCTTCCACCCTCAGCCCCCGACAGGCCCAGTATGTGTTGTTCCCCCTGGGAGCAAATGAGAACAAATGTGACCATAGGTTCTCATTGTTCAGCTCCCACTTGTGAGAATGTGTGGTGTTTGTTTTTCTGTTCCTGCATTAGTTTGCTGAGGATAACAGCTTCCAGCTCCATCCAGTTCCCCTCAAAGGACATGATCTTGTTCCTTTTTATGGCTGCATAATATTCCATGTTGTATATGTACCACATTTTCTTTATCTAGTCTATCATTGATGGGCATTTTGGTCATTCCATGTTATATGCATGCATGTATCTTTATAACAGAATAATTTATATTCCTTTAGGTATATACCCATTAATGGGATTGCTGGGGTAAATTGTATTTCTGCTTCTAGATGTTTGAAAAATCACCACATTGTCTTCCACAATGGTTGAACTAATTTACACTCCCACCAACAGTGTAAAAGCATTCCTTTCTCTCACCAACCTCACCAGCATTTGTTGTTTCTGGACTTTTTTTTTTTTTTTTTGAGATGGAGTCTCGCTCTGTCACCCAGGCTGGAGTGCAGTGGCGTGGTCTCCGCTCACTGCAAGCTGCACCTCCTGGGTTCACGCCATTCTCCTGCCTCAGCCTCCCGAGTAGCTGGGACTACAGGTGCCCACCACCAAGCCTGGCTAATTTTTTATACTTTTAGTAGAGACGGGGTTTCACTGTGTTAGCCAGGGTGGTCTCTATCTCCTGACCTCATGATCCACCCGCCTTGGCCTCCCAAAATGCTGGGATTACAGGCGTGAGCCACCGCGCCCGGTGTTTCTGGACTTTTTAATTGCCATTCTGACTGGTGTGAGATGGTATCTCATTGTGGTTTTGACTTACATTTCACTAATGATCAGTGATGTTGAACTTTTTTCATGTTTTTTTGGGCACATGAATGTCCTCTTTTGAGAAGTGTCTGTTCACGTCCTTTGCCCACTTTTTAATGGGTTTGTTTTTTTGTGTGTAAATTTAATTTTTTATAGACTCTGGAAATAAGACATTTGTCAGGTGGATAGATTGCAAATATTTTCTCCCATTCTGTAGATTGTCTGTTTACTCTGTTGACAGTTTCTTTTGCTGTGCAGAAGCATTTTTAGCTTAATTAGATCTCATTTGTCAATGTTTGCTTTTGTTGCAATTGCTTTTGGTCTTTTTGTCATGAAATCTCTGTCTATGCCTATGTCTTGAATGGTATTACCTAGATTTTCTTCTATGGTTTTTATAGTTTGGGGTTTACAATGAAGTATTTAATCCATGTGGAGTTAATTTTTGTGTAAGGTGTAAGGAAGGGGTCTCATTTCAATTTTCTGCACATGGCTAGCCAGTTCTCTCAGTACCATTTATTAAATAGGGAATACTTTCTTCATTGCTTGTTTTGGTCAAGTATGTTAAAGATCAGAGGGTCGTAGGTATGTAGTCTTATTTCTGAGTTTTATACTTTGCTCCGTTGGTGTATGTTTCTGTTTTTGTACCAGTACCATGCTGTTTTGTTTGCAGTAGCCCTGTACTATAGTTTTAAGTCAGGTAGTGTGATGTCTCCAAGTTTGTTCTTTTTGCTTAGGATTGTCTTGACTATTTCGGCTCTTTTTTGGTTCCATATGAATTTTTAAACAGTTTTCTCTAATTCTGTGAAGAATGTCAATGGCAGTTTTATGTGAATAACATTGAATCTATAAATTACTTTGGGCAGTATAGCCATTTTTACAACATTGATACTTCCTATCCATGAGCGTGGAATGTTTTTCCATTTGTTTATGTCCTTTCTGATCTAATTTTTTTGAACAGTGGTTTGTAGTTCTCTTTAAAGAGGTCCTTCACTTCCCTTGTTAGCTGTATTTCTAGGTATTTTCTTCTTTTTGTGGCAATTGTGAATGGAAGTTTATTTGTGATTTGGCTTTCTGCTTGCCTGTTTTTGATGCATAGGAATGCTAGTGATTTTTGCTCATTGATTTTGTATCCTGAGACTTTGCTGAAGTTGCTTATCAGTTTAAGAAGCTTTTTGGCTGAGACAATGGAGTTTTCTAGATACAGGATCATGTCATCTGCAAAAAAAAGATAATTAGACTTCCTCTCTTTCTATTTGAATACCCTTTATTTTTTTTTTTTAGCTGGAAGCTGGTTGCCCGGCCAGAACTTCCAATACTATGTTGAATAGAAGTGGTGAGAGGGCATCCTTGTCTTGTGCCAGTTTTCAAGGGGAATGCTTCCAGGCTGTGTGTTTGTCATATACGGCTCTTATTATTTTGAAGTATGTTCCTTTAATATCTAGTTTATTGAGAGTTTTCATTATGATACAAAGGTTGTTGAATTTTATTGAAGGCCTTTTCTGCATCTATTAAGATAATCAGGTATTTTTTGTCTTAATTCCATTTATGTGATAAAACACATTATTGATTTTCATATGTTGAACCAACCTTGCATCCCAGGGATGAAGCCAACTTGATCCTGGTGGATAAGCTTTTTCATGTGCTGCTGAATTTGGTTTGCCAGTATTTTATTGCGGAATTTTGCATCGACGTTCATCAGAGATATTGGCCTGAAATTTTCTTTTTTGTTGTTGTTGTATCTCTTCCAGGTTTTGGTATCAGGATGATGCTGGCTTCATAAAATGAGTTAGAGAGAAGTCCCTCCTTCTCAATTGTTTGGAATAATTTCAGAAGAAATGGTACCAGCTCCTCTTTGTACCTCTGGTAGAATGCAGCTGTAAATCCATCTGGTCCTGGGCTTTTCTTTTTTTTTTTGTTGGTAGGCCATTTCTTACTGCATCAATTTCAGAACTTGTTATTGGTTTATTCAGGAATTCTACTTCTTCCTGGTTCAGTCTTGCGAGGGTGTATGTGTCCATGAATTTATCAATTTCTTTTAGATTTTCTAGTCTATGTGTATAGAGCTATTTATAGTAATCTCTGATGGTTGGTTGTATTTCTGTGGGGTCAATGGTGATAGCCCTCTTATCATTTCTAATTGTATCTATTTAATTCTTCTCTCTTTTCTTCTTTATTAGTCTAGCTAGTATTATCTATTTTATTATTATTATTTTTTTAAAAACACCTCCTGGATTTGTTGATTTTTTGAAGGGTTTTTTTTGTGTCTCTATATTCTCCAGTTCTACTCTGATCTTGGTTATTTCTTATCTTCTGCTAGCTTTGAGGTTTGTTTGCTCTTGTTTCTCTAGTTATTTTAGTTGTGAAGTTAGATTGTTAACTTGAGATCTTTCTAGCTTTTTGATGTGGGCATTAAGTGCTATAGATTTCCCTTGTAACAATGCTTTAGCTACGTCCCAGAGATGCTGGTACATTTTCTCTTTGTTCTAATCAGTTTCCAAGAACTTCTTGATTTCTGCCTTAATTTCATTATTTACCCAGGAGTCATTCAGGAGTAGGTTGATCAATTTCCTTGTAGTTGTGTGGTTTTGAGTGAATTTCTTAAACTTGAGTTTTAATTTGATTGTGCTGTGGTCTGAGAGACTGTTTGTTATGATTTCAGTTCTTTTGCATTTGCTGGGAAGTGTTTTACTTCCAACTGTGTGATCAATTTTTGAGTTAGTACTGTATGGCAATGAGAAGAATGTATATTCTGTTGATTTGGAGTGGAGAGTTCTGTGGATATCTATCAGGTCCACTTGATCCAGAGCTGAGGTCAGATCCTGAATATCTTTGTTAATTTTCTGTCATGATGATCTTTCTAATATTGACAGTGGGGTGTTAAAGTCTCCCACTATTATCGTGTGGGATTTTAAATCTCTTTGTAGGTCTCTAAGAATTTGCTTTATAAATCTTGGTGCTCCTGTATTGGGTGCATATATATTTAGGATAGTTAGCTCCTCTTGTTTCGAACACTTCACCATTATGTAGTGCCCTCCTTTGTCTTTTTTGATCTTTGTTGGTTTAAAGTCTGTTTTGTCAGAAACTAGGATTGCAACCCCTGCTTTTTCTGTTTTCCATTTGCTTGGTAAGTTGTACTCCATCCCTTAATTTTGAGCCTACATGTGTCTTTGACCCATTAGATGGGTCTCTTGAAGAGAGCATACCAATGGGTCTTGGCTCTTTATCCAGCTTGCCAATCTGTGTCTTTTAATTGGGGGCATTTAACCCATTTACATTTAAGGTTAATATTATTACACGTGAATTTGATCCTGTCATGATGATGTTAGCTGGTTATTTTGCAGACTTGTTTATGTGGTTGCTTCAGAGTGTCACTTTGTACTTCATTGTGTTTTAAAAATATTGTATGCTTCACAAACTTGCAAGTCATCATTGAAAGGTGCCATGCTAATCTTCTCCATATCATTCTAATTTTAGCATATGTGCTGTCAAAGTAAGCACTGCAAATATCTTAATAATATGAGATCATATAATACCTACTATACTGTTTTCTTTTTACATGTATAAGCATCTTCCAAATTAGTATTTATACTCATGTCATTTTTAAGACAGTTACTATTGCACAGTATAGATATAATTTATTTAAGTAATTCCCAGGTATGTATTCCAACTTTTAATTTTTCCAGCAATGCTGTGACACATGTAATTTGTTATTCCAATTCTACAGTTGTAGAATTCTATACTGAAATTGAGTTTACAGTAAGATTCTATATTAGTAGCATAAGGTAAAGTAAAATGATTCTATATTAGTAGCTTAAGGTAAAGTATTTTCAAATCTGGGAAACAATAATGGTAAACTTATATGAGGGAAAAATCTGTTTTTTTTTTCTTTTTACTATATTTAACATCAGTAACAACAGTAACTCTCAGACTAAAAAAAAAACCACATTGTAATTAACTTAAAGAAAATAACATGTAAAAAAGGAATCAGATGAATGCTTTCCTCACTATTTAATGGTGCTCGTTTTACTTGATAAGTTGTTAACATTTTCAGCAACTATCAGATAGTGGATATGAAATGCAGAGCTGAAAGCTCTGGTCAGGATTTGGGGTTCACAGATTCTTGTTCTTTTTCCTCAGACTGCTAAGGCTGAAATTGCTTGTCACCCTTCAGTTTGACAATAAATTGAAGTCAGTCTTGATTTCATGTTTCTCTATTGAGTTAATAAGTATACTACATTTAAAAAACAGGATGGAATCTTTCCAATAGTTAAGTTTTTCTAAGTGATTAGGAGTACTGCATGTTGCTAAATGGTCTCTCAACTTAATCCATAATAACTTCAGAGGTGTCTGCTCAAACTAAACTCAGATGACTTAAACCCCAGGGCTCTCATTAGAGAAAGTCCTTCATATTTTATTACATAGCACCATGGTTTTCCAACTACAGTCCTATGAAAGGGCTTACAGGCATGGGTGATTCTAGAAAAATCAGTTTTCTGACTTCCAAGATAGTCCTTCCTAAAACAGATCTGCCTGACAATGAGCTTTCTTTTAGATATTGCCCCACACAAAATATTTCCCTTAAAGGGTAACGTAAAACTGTTTGGTATTTTTGCTGGTTAGGTGATTTCCAAATACATACTTAGATAAAACGGAAGGAGGCCTGATACGGTTTCTAACTTATAAGTTGTTAGAAATAATTTCTGATGAGAGTTCACCATGTCATAAATAAATAGATCCTCATTGGTTTATTTTTTATAACATTAAAAGCATAAAACAAGAAAAAATTGAATAGTAATATTCAATTATTAATGCATTAAAAGGAACCATGTAAAATTACAGAAAAATTTTCACGTCTTGTGATTGCTTATCTGTAAAATGGAAGAGGAGAATCAGATGTAAGATTCTGTGTTCTTTGTACTACAAATTCAGTGCTTATTTTTCCAGTCGATAGAGACAAATTGACTATCTTGTCCTTCAAATAGCCAGTTGAGTGACTGTTTTAAATATTGAAATATGGCTAATCAAACATAATTTGACAGTTACAATAGAAACTGTCTTTTTAAAAAAAACTTTCTGTCAGCTTCTGTATTTGATTCTACTTCTGTTTTCATTTAATCATTAAATTAAAGATATTACCTTCAAATACTATTAAAGACAACTGGTTGAGACACTAACTTGTATTTTACCCCAGTGTGTTTCTTCCTTTTAGCAATAACTTACCCAGTGTCTTATGCTGTCTTGCTTCAGGGTCATTGATGTTACAAGCCTTAAAGCAGAAGTTGTCTGAACACAACCTTCTTCCCCAACATTTTGTTTTTGAACACAGAAGTCCATTTAATGGGTTAAGCCAGTTTACTTCAGAGTGATAGAGAGGTTCATCTTTGGAAGGTGGTGGAAAGTGCAAAGCAGGTGGGCAGAAACACACAGAGCTCATGAGAATAAAAGATTCCTTATATCTATGGGAGAATGTGTGTATGTATCTGATGATGGGAATTATGTTCCTCTGCAGCAACCCAGGGAGAAGATAGGACTTTAGAAGGGACAGCTGAAATGTGCAGTCATGGAGACTAGACAATTGGCCAAGACTTTTACCTCCAGATAAGGTGTTACACTACATCCAAACAAACTGCCCAAGCTAGGTGTAGAAATAGCAAGAAAAGGCCAGGTGCGCTGGCTCATGCCTGTAATCCCAGCACTTTGGGAAGCTGAGGCAGGTGGATCACGTGAGGTCAAGAAATCGAGAACAGCCTAGCCAACATGGGGAAACCCCGTCTCTACTGAAAATACAAAAATTAGCTAGGCGTAATGATGCGCGCCTGAGGCAGGAGAATAGCTTGAACCTGGGAGGCGGTGGTTGCAGTGAGCCGATATAGAGCCACTACACTCCAGCCTGGTGACACAGTGAGATCCCATCTCAAAAAAAAGAAAAAAAAAGCAAGAAAAGCCCACCTTCTAATGGCTCACATAAGATTATACAATTTATTTTTCAGCTGTGACTATGATATAATAAAGAGTAGAAAACTTTTCTTTATTTTCAAGACAGGTTGAAAACTCTTTGGATATTGGTGCAACCTTAAAGAACACATGCTTCTGTCACCACCCTGGGTACGGTGGGCCTCAGCAATAGATTTAAATTAATTTAGAAAAACAAAGTGTTATGACATTTCTTGTAAAAACGTATGATCAAAGAAAACTCACACCTCTACATATCTACTATAATTTTCATTTTTCAGACAGTATAACTGTGATAGTCACTGACATTTTTAGCCAGGTGTTTCTGGTTTTCCTCTTCAGTACAAGGTGATTTGTACTTCCCCACACCTTGAAAGCGGGCGTGGCGACGTGATTTACTTACATCAATCAAATGTGTGTGGTGGGGGGGCGGGGGAGCCCGGCCTCATTTCCAGGTGGAAGCAATAAAAGTGGGTCTGCCCTCCCCCAAATAGAGTCTAGTCTTTCTCTCTGCCTCAGAGACTGGCAACGCTTCAGTTGGCTCCTCTGTCAGCTTCAGTTCTGGAGTGAGGATGACATGGAACAGAGTCTACCCACAGGGACAGGAAGTGTGAGCAAAAAGTAAGTCTTGGTCACTTAAGATGGTGCTATATCATAATTATTTCCAGAGAATAACCTTGCAGATCCTACCCGGTGCAATCAATAATGAAGCCCAGAGACTCAAACAACTTCTTTAAGTTTACTTCTCAGTGAATACATGTTCATTTCAAATACAACTTTCCCTGCTAAGCAGTTAATATTCTATAAGTATTTATTAAGTGCCTGCTAAGGACACACCCTGCTAAGGACCCTGAGGATACTGTGTTGAACGACACAGAGTCCTTGCCTTCAAGAGAGCTACTCAGACTACTTAGCCTTTGTTCAATAATTTGGTCAGGGGTTAGCATTAAGTTTACAATTTCTAGAATCCATTGCTTCAACCCCTCACACACACACAGCCACCTTTAAGAAATGGGAATAACATTTACCCATCTCCAGACTTTTGGGGCCTCCTTTTTACTTTGTGATTTCTTAGAGTTTAACAACAGGAGTGCCTTGATCACCTCTGCAAGTCATTTAAATATCCTGGGATATAATTTATCTGGGCCCTAAGGCTTGAATTAATTTAAAGCTGTAAAGTAGTCCCTTATTATCTCTGCACCTATCTTGTACTTCAATTCCCTCCTAATGATGTTTGTTCTAGATTTGCCAGCTTGAAAATTATTTTCCTTCATGGGGAAAAGAGCAAAACAGAACACGAATAAATCTACGCTCTCTGCTTTGTTGCTTAACATATTTTTTGTAGTAAATTGTAGACTTTTCCTGAGGTGTGTGGATTGTTTGGAGCAAGCATATGTACCTGCAGCGTAGCCAAGAAAGTCTACTTAATAGGGATTAAGACCAGTTAATAACGAGTGAAGCTGAAACTAAAATTTCATATGCAGGTGTTCAAACAAATTACTCAGGTGAGCTGGATGAGATTAATGTGTGTCCAGGAGAGCTCATTGGAGGAGCACCTGGAATGTTTTTGGTACTATGAATACTCTAGCTCAAGGCATTTTCTTTCTTTCTTTCTTTTTTTTTTTTTTTATCTGAGGCAACCTAAGGTAGCACTTTCATATTTGAACAAACAATTACAATTTCGTTAACATTTGTAAAGTACCTACTCTGTATTTGGTACTGTGTCTGTATGGTTGCTGTTACCCTAGAATGGGATAGTGATCAAAACTGTGTATCTCCACTATGAGTGCTGGTATTCAGTACTCTCTCTTATGGAAAGATTGTGGGCTTAGTTTGGGTCAGAGAAGGCTTCATTTCTGAGGTTTTTTTGTTTGTTTATCTCATCAGATTCTTGTGCAAGTTTCCCAGTATTGGATTTTGATTCCATTTAAAGCTCTATTCTGCTTTATTTATGTAAAAGCCCTTGTTTTGTCTTAAGAGTTTTCCAGTGTTTCAAGTCTTTGTAAACTTCTTGAGATTCTCTTCATTTTTGTATTCTTACATCTTCTCAACCTTGAAGGTCTGATCTCATTACCTTGTAGAGACATGAAAATTTTCTCTTTAGTTTCTGATTACTAAATTTGGAGAGTAGCTCACATTACGTTTATGAGGATTAGTACTTGGAGTCTCTGATTTTAATTCCTGACCATATGCCCTTTAGAACTTCTGACCAAAGGTACAATTCCATCTCTCTCAGAACTTTGGAAATGTTCTTTCAAAACAATATAACATTTTGCTTTTCTCTGACTCTCACTGCTTGGCTTTTATGAACTCAAAGATGTCATGGTTACACTGTCTCCCGTGGTTTCTGTTCCCTCCACATTCATAGTCCCCTCTTCCTAGATTATAAGAAGTCTACCCAAGAGTAACATTTCTTTGTTTCTTTAACCTTCAGTCAATCATTTTCAGTTTTTAGTGTGTATCACAGTGTGGTCTGCAGACAGCCTGAAACGAAATTATCTGGAGTGGTTGTTTAAAATGTACATTTCTCAGTGCTGTTTCTCAGA